AACTAGTTATATGATTAGAATAGGGGGTGTGAGATAGACATACCACCACGTGGTGCGCCCTGACAAACGTATACTCAAACGGCAAAAAGTCTATTAACAGGCAGTTGGCTTCTGACTTCAAACTACCATGACCCCACTTTATGTTATAGTCGACCACTTCTACAGTACTCACCTTACCCTACTCTCAATCATTGTGTCTGTCTATTTTACATCTGCAAATCACTCTTCCGTCCCCATCTTGAATTTTTCTCACTATGATGTTTCTCCCCTCTGTGAAGCTCGAAGTCAGCTAAGGGCTAATGATAACTATAATAACGCCTGCCATTTGAAATAAATAAATAAATGATTGGAATAGGGAGAAATCGACCGGAATAAATTCTTGAATACCTCGACTTTAACTAATAAGCAGCCAGGCATTAATAAAATAAAACACGTCGAACATAACTAGGCAAAGGCTAACCCAAGTGGATTCACTGATGCAACCGAATCAAATCCTGGAGAGAAAAAATGCTGTCACATCGTGAAATTCGAACGTTATGACACGATACAATCACCGGTAAACTGTCAAGAGCAGCGTAATATTTAATGTTAGCAACTAACACGCTTGGTGATCAATGCTAATAGAACCGAAACTAAACACAAATACTGCATGGCGAGAAACATATATATTAAAGAATCTCTAAATTATTATCCCACCTTGAGAGGTACTAAACTGCCTCGTCCAAGATATGTAATCGAGCGGATTCCTAGACACCATGCCCGCAACAGCTGCGCGAAACTGCTGCTGTTGCTGAAATTGTTGAAATTGCACTTGAGGCGATGACTGTTGACTATGAGTTTGTATTTGCTGCTGCTGCTGTTGAGGCAATGTCCTCTGTTGGGTAGACTGAGGTCGAATAATTTGAGCTGTCGGCAGAGAATTGGTCAATTGAGAGGTGGTGCTACTCGGTGATTGGGAAACTTGGTTCCCCCAAGCACCTCGTTGAGGCGTAGATAGCACAGCAGTGGAATGAGCAATACGTGTGTTGTTACTCACGCTGATACTGGCCTGTTGACCTGCCGTTGGTGAATTTATTTGAGCAGTATGTGCAGCTTGTAGATGTTGCTGAGGGGTTCGATTAATGATGATTGAGGGGACTTGGGTAGTGAAGCGAACGTTTTCCGGGAAAGTCGTAACACGCTGTTGCTGCTGAGTTTGCTGCACCTGTTGCTGTGGCTTTTGAGCATTAGCTTGGGTCTGGATAAGGGTTGGCTGTTTTTCCTCCTGTTTCGGAACGCTTGTCTGACCCTGATGCCTCTGGAGATTCACTAGAGATTGACCTTGTTTCTGCATATTTGCCATGACTTGAGCCTGGGCATGCTGTTTCTGGAAATTCGCTTGGTAGGCCGATATGATATTCGTAACAGTCTGTAGAGTTGCGGTCTAGAAGGAAAACACAATGAGCATAGGAATATTTAGTCTTGCTTTGATATATTCATATTTCCTACACAGTAGATAGAACTTCATTCTTTATACTACTGATCCGCTTGTATATTTTAAGGCCATAATTAAGGCTCGTTTTGAGCAAAACTGACATGTGGATTCCCCCTCATTCCTGCATGTCATATTCTTGAATAATCTACACCTCAGTAACAAAAACGCCAATACCTGTCTCCCGAGATCATATTGACCGTCAGCGCATTAAGCCAAAAAGCACTAACGAGTCACATCCCACACTATGGAAAAAATATACATGTGGACAAGCTGGAATGAGAATGATTAGTGCCTTAGGCTTTAAGTATAAAACATTGGACAATAATACTGAATGTAATCGTTCACTTATCACCACCGACTTGACTGCATACTGTCCTTATCTTAAACTTGGCTTTGCAGGGTGGTTATACAATTTCGACATGGTGGCATTATGCGTATATTTGCTTACCTCTGCTCGCTACTGGTCTTCATACTCAAACTCTTGGACCTTGTTTGAAGCACAATTTGTTGAATTCGCTAATATACACATATATATCAATTACTACTGCTTTTTGATATTTCAATAGTCAATGCCTTCCTGTCGGTATTCAACTATAATTTGGTTCGTTGAATTCAATTTGAGAATTTCGTGAGAGTACTAGCAGGAACTAAACGCAAAAAACCAAATAAAGACTTGTCTCCTCTTCACTTTATAACATCATCTCTTCAATCCACAACCAATTTCCATCATGGCTACTGTTTTCAAAAATCACTTGCACAATATCTCATTTCTAATACGGTAAAAAGGGGAAAGGACGCAATTACTGCCAACAACAATGGATAGAAACCTGAAAATACCGCAATTTTCAGGGATAACTGATCCCAAACATAATCGGAATTTTTTACTGATGATGGTATTTTAGTATTATTCATGACACTGTAGCAGTTTTTACAGCGGGGAAACATCTCATTACAAAGAGCAATAAATTAAAACAAAATGGAGAGAGAGAAGAGATCGGAATCAGAGTAGATTTGAAGTCAGGGGATAAATGGAATGTATTCCTTCTACTAGCGAAGAAATGAACAAAGTTACTATCAAGACAACTGTGAATGGAAACAGGACAAATAAACCAGGCGACAAAATGCGACATTTGAATTCCGGATATCTCATTAAGTGAATAGTCTATAAACCAAATACAATAGTACACTTAAGTAACTCATAGCGCTCTACTCGAAAAACTGCCCTCGTATTCCCCCATCGAAACACACTTGATCTAATTCAGTTGCCTTTCGAAAGTGAGAAAATGTTGGAAAGTATTTTCAGCATTGACGTGAGTTGTAATAATAACAATCAGGAGACTGAATGGAAGAACTTATAGATCACCAAGTTGAAGCGGTTGTATAACTCTGAAAGGCGAGAACTGCGTTCCGATGCAATAATAGAAAAGTTCATGCGAGAAAACAGTTATTACACACAGCCTGAGAAAAAACCACTATTCCATGCGTAAATTTATATGCTAGATTCATTTCTTCATTTTTTTATTTATAGCAGTTAAAATGAATTTAAAAAGCCGACTCGAGATCTCTGTGAGTGCGTGCGTGTTTTGCGTGTTTGTGTGTGTGCAATAGCAATACACATTACTCGAATTGAGAGCAATAATTAAAAAATGTCTATCACTCGTTGAAGGTTCGAGTTGTTTTTCGATTAAAGCAATATAGCAAAATGCCAGCAAGTTCATATTTTAGGTTATGTCGAGTATTTAAATATCTTTTTTTACTCTTACAATACTTCTGATCACCTAAAATCAATAGAATTCATAGGGTATACCGTTGAAAGCTGTAGATCTTCCAATCAAAATCGAATCATTTTTAAACAAAAGCACTAGCCTGTTGTTGCAGCTGAGATGATACTGTTGTTGCAATCGGGGAACTAGTAGGATTCCTTCCCAAAAACTGCGCTACTGGAACAGTGACAGATGGCAGTTGTGGCCTACTGAGCACTGTTGACGAAGAAACCACCGGAGAATTAGTGCTTGACGATGCATTCAATACAATTCTTCTCTGTGGACCCGCTGAATTTGCAGGCACACTACTCGTCGGCTTTGAGGTTCCCGATTTTGAGGCAGTTATACGAGGTGGGGAGAAATTCATGCTTCTATTTACAGGCGTTGCTGGTACTGTAGATGAAGTCATATGCTGTTGTTTACCACAGTTAGAAGCAACACTAGAGCTATTCGTCTCCGTTAAGTCTATAAATGGCGGTACGGTGGCTTTGGGAGTTTCCTTCTTATGCCCAGCGTTAGGGCTAGACGAAGCAAATTGGAGAACATATGGATTTGAGTTTGTGGTGGATTTTGCAGAAGAAAGCTCAACAGCTACTCCTGATTGAACCGCTGACGCAGCGCCCATTGCACTAGCTACTGATGGAGGGTTTCGAACGGGAGTAGCAGACACCGGTGGGGCCAATTTGGGAGGCGTAAGAACTAAACTAACGGGAGGAGTTATTGCCGGCAATGATGATCCTCCTGTATTCACTCCCTCGGAAGCTACTGACGCTGCATGACCATTTGATTTTCTATACAAAACAAAGAAGATCACGACAACCGTCTTAGCACAACCACAATAACTAATCATCGGTTTAACTCACGCTTTATTGGTAATACGCTCAAATACACTTTTGCTAGCATTCATGAGTGCCCTTCAAACAAAAACACATTTTTAAGAGAAAACATCAAAGAAAAAGGAAATGGAATAACCACACTAAGAGGTACATACTTTACAGAGATCCAACCTTCGGGCCAAATAGACATGAGGCCAACAAAGAAGGTCTTCATTTTGTCTTGATCTGGATAAGTCTTTGTTTCACGAAAAACTGACTCCATATGATGACTGACAACAGCTTCCAAATAGGATCTGAAATATTTGAATAGGTGCATAAAGCACAGCAACAACATTGGAGAAGAGGAAATGAATTGCATACTTGCAAAGCGCATTGAAGGGAAATTTCTTTTTTGGAACACCGGGTCGCTTAGCTTCAGGATTTGTGAGTTTTCTGTCAAAAGCAAAAGAATGAGAAATGAATGAAATAAACGTGGACAAGTAACGAGGGAATATTTAATTGACAAGTTTAAAAACCTGAAATCTGACTGCAAAAATTAACTTATTTTATTGGTCTAGCAGCAATTGTGATGGACTCTTCACCGTTGTAATTTGCACAAAATCATGAAAAAACTAGAAAAGACATGTTCTTTCTCTCTCTCCCTCCCTCTCTCTGGACTTTTGGATATTGTGTTTCACTTGCAACACGTTACACCTACTTTAAGCGGTTCTGTTGATTGGCATTACCTTTGAAGCTTGAAATACAAAAGCTTATAGATGTATGGAATCAGGCAAATTCGAGATGGAAATGTTTACCGCCAAGTGCAACATTCCAAAGTTACTCACTATTGAATTTACCAATAGCAGTCATGGAATTAAGAAAGTATATCCAAATCACGGGCATAGGAATACAGAGAATCGAATAGCACGAAGAGTATTTTTTAATAAAACAAAGATACTGGCAGGGTATAAATATTTACATACGCAATCGACATGAAGGGAATTGGAAAAAATTGTGATTAAGTGCATAATATGTAACGACTTCATGAAGACTTAATGGTGGCAACCAATATACCAAACTTAATTTCGATTACCAAATCAAAAGAGTATCATTGCGAATATAAACTGTTGGGGAAGTTTTATTATTATCATAATTAAATTAGAGTAGTTATAAGTTGTCCCGCCACCCATATTGTAGGGCTACAGTTACTTAGACGCTAGAAAGAGGAAAAGAGAAGAATTACAGCTCAAACAGTAGTGTTTTACTAGCAAAATTTATTTACTTACATAGACCTAAATAAGTAATACATGATTGGTTGCCTGATTAGCTAATACTTGCATCGATGGATCACCACAAATAGTCTTAAATGTCTGGGAGTGATGTGGGAATCCAATAATCGATAATCCAGGACATGAAAAACTAAACTCGAATGCAACAAACCCATTCTATTAGGCTACCTAACAAATTACAAATATACTTTCCCACAATTGAATTGGAAACAAACGTTCAACCATGATCAATCCATATTGATCAAACCGATTTGTCAATTTGTGAATTGCAAAAAAAGCGCTTTTCAAAAGAAGTGGCAACAAAACAATAGGATGGGAAACAAACAACACAATCACAATGGTTCAACTTACTCTCTCTCCCAAGCACTAAGCCGCGTCTGATAATAGCCCATATCTCGCTCATAAGATGTTCTAACATCAACCATGGCCGATTTGACAGCTGAAATGAAACGAACAAAAATCAACTGGCATATCAAAGAGAAGGGTAACTTCATGATAAGAGGGCCACGAGGGCACCACATACCATTTCGAAGCCGATCCAATATAGGGTCCAAAGAAGACCCATTTTGGGCGTCCTTGAGCTTTCGAAGCCGAGCAAGGAGGGTCTTTGATTTTATACCAAGTTTGGCAGCCATGTATGCGTAAGTACCCGAACGGGTTGCTTTCTTGAGGTTCTTTTTCATTAACAGTTCGTCAAACCTGAAGGGAAAGAAGGAGGTTTTGAAATGAGCTAGAAAACGGTATACGACTTAAATTCTATCTGGGACTTCATCTTCTTTTGCCATGAAGTGTAACCACAATTGGTAGATGAAACTAATGAATGGAGGTAGCTCCAGGATTTCAGCCAACAACCCCAAATAAGCTTTTGAAGACTAAATTGTTTGGAAAAATGGCAAACGAATATACTTGAAGAAAATGATCATTTTGGCTTGAAACCAACCTCAAAACGGAAGGAAACTTTATAGGTATCGGAGATTCAAAAAATATGCTCACCGTAAAAGAGCCCCTTCAATTTGCGGAGTGAATAAGGATTTGGCTGTTCCGCCTTGAGAAGTAGACTTCATCTAAAAGATAACAACAAAGGGTAAGAGCAGCACAACATTTAGTTTGCTTTCAGTGTGCAGCGCATAAAGTGCTTGACTATAAGGAGAGTTAACTACACTGGTTAAATCTCTCCAACAAAGAGGGTTGGAATAATCCGACTTTCGTAACCAAGAGGCTTCAATACAAGTTTTGGAAAACACCTGACTGGTTATTAAGGCCATAACAGATGCCATTAACATGTGGCGATTCTAAAGCACGAAACAGCAATAGCACCCCACTCATCTTAACCAATTGCGTGAATGGAAACCTTCATGACAGACAACTGTGACACGGGACAACAAAGGTTGAATAAAACTGCCATCGCGAGATAGAATGAAGACAACATTGAGCTGCTGCCGTCGCGTGAATTCCTAAACTTATCCATTCTAGGCGATTCCAGTTCATACTGCATCAGTGTTAGAACAAACGCTTTGTATTTAAAGTACTAGAGAGAAATTTGAGAGCTGGACTAAACTGAAGCTAACATGCATTATTGTGAGAAATAAACTAATTGTAAAATTTGCAAATTGAATTAAATTTCTTAACAATTTTTTAAAAATAAAATGAACTTCTGATACGACATAGCTATACAAAATGACTCGATTTCAACGTACAGCTAGGAGCTTTTGCACTTCAGCATTCAAATCATCCGGTAAAGGTGGCAACGTAGGAGGAGGAGGAGCTGAAGGTGTTGATTGAGGGGCATTAGGAATGGGAGAGAGTTGAGGTTGAGTAGAGGGAGAAGGGGTGATGAGGTTATCAGCTGATGCTCCAGCAGAAATAACGGAATCAAAGACGGCGTCGAGAGAACTTGTTACTCCACTGACTCCGTTGGTTATCATTGATGATTTTGCTGCTGTCGATGCAACGGCGTTGGGAACTGAGAGCTGCTTAACTGCTCTCTCCAGCAGTTGCCTAGACGCAAAACGACCATGATAAAATGAATAGGTTCGATTAAGTCATACTAGATTTCCAAAAAAAGAAAACACTAGAGATTTAGCTAGACAAAACTTACGTATCAGTTGCAGACCTGAAAGCAGTATAAATGACTGACTATTAGTTTGCCTACTGGTTATCTAAGTAGACAATGGCCCAAAGAAAAAAAGCACAAAGGAATTGCAGTCAATCCGAAAGACAGCACAGTTGGCTGATACTTTAAACGTATTTTATACAGTTTTATGAACAGAAAATAAAGTAGGAAATGACGCTCGAAGAAACCAATAAAAAATCATACAGAGGGATCGAAGATATTACTTTTTCTACTATTAAACAACATATAAGCAGTTTTTAAATGAACTTGGAAACCGATATCTTAATGAAATTGACGCTGAATCGCTCCTTTTGGAGGAAAAAACTGCCTACTTTATTTTCCATTTTCATCAGTGAATGTTGTATATAAAACAGTACAGTTCATGATGTAAAAAGTATATTTTGAATACGACTAATAGGACGAGGTGAAATTAGAATTATACCAGCAGTAATTTACTTTGGGGCGGGGAGGAGGAGAAAGTGACACAACTTTAAGTCCATTAAAAAGACAAAGTACCTTCGTTCTCGCTTTTGAACTTAAGAAATGATTTTTCATCCACAACAAGCGATTAACTTTAACGAATTGAACTTTGGGCAACCACGTTAACACACAGTAAAATGTACAAATAGTGTGCACAGGCGATTGAAAGTGATTTAGGTTACACGAGAAAAGAACGGCATGTGCTCAATATGGCTTTTAATAAACCGGCCTTTCAATACGACATCCATGGACGGATGTGGCCGATGAAAGTACTCCAATAAAAAAAGCTAAGAGGTTGCTTTACCAGGATGTAACACAAAGGTTAAAATTTAAAATCATATTGAAAGCCGGCAATCAAGCAGGATCAAACAAAGCAGAAACATCAACAACTAACAATGGCCCTCCATCATCATTCCTTACTGGCATCTAATGTGTAATTACTGAATCAATAATCAAATGGAGGTTGTTATTTTCCTTGATTTGATTATAAAGGAATTTGGCTAAACGCTGGGTGTATATATATCTTAAATCTCATGACCCGGACATAATTAAAGCCATGAGTGCACGTAATTGCGAAGAGAGGCCAAGTGAATTTTGTGATAAGTTACTAACACAGCTTCTCTTTTGAGTCTCTTCCTTAGACTCAGAACAGTCAATTTGCCAACTGGAGGTCGAAAAAGCTATAGCCACTGAATACTCACCAAAATTTGATTAGATTAGTAAATAAAAAGCTTTACCACGGGATATGTTGACATTACAAAACAAGCAGAAGTACGAAATAGTCCATACATTGAAAATAATGGACGTTAATTAAAATAAAATACTCCGAAAATGGACTGAGGTATTTCAACCAGGTTAGATCGTTCAATAAAAGTTCAGCCAAGGGCAAATTCAGGTCCTAGTGAGTCATAAGGTGGCCCTACTGAAAAATTGCAGTGACTTAACTGAAACTGACCAGTAATTAGCTGGACAAATTTCTGAACAAAAATAGATCATTACTAGAAACCACCCTTACTTCAAGCTAGATTAAAAAAACCCTGCACTTTATTATGAAAACAAGAAATCAAATATACAAAACGGTATTAAGGAGGCCTTAAGAAAAATACTAAGACGCCGAGATCATAAAAAATTACTCACCTGTCGATGTGGTCTCGACAGGCAAATAAATAGTAATAAAATACAAAACAACATAAAAAAATTAACTCACTTCGATTTGTCTTTTTTGACAGCAGGACGTTTATTTGAAGGGATATCAAGCTTAGGCTGTTTAGGTGGTGGGGGTGCTTCAATGTCTATCGATTTATCCTCAAGCATTTCCAAGGTTCCAGTGTTTATAAAGAAACCCTCGAATCTCGTGCGGACAGTAGGTGGTACAACTAATTCCACATACTCCGAATCATCAATAAAGGAATCGCCAGAATCATATCCAGCACCTAAATCCCTGTAATCAGCAACGCGAAGTTTCCGTTTTCTTCCTTTTTTGTTCACTGTAACCATATCACCCTATTCAAAATAAGGGAAAAGGAATAAGGTAAACGCAAAGGGATAACATACATATTTTCTTTCAAATTGCCTTGCAATCTCCATCAACTCGGTAGTATCGTCTTCACCAAACGGATCACTAGGTGCACGATTACCCTAAAAATGAGTTGTATTATTTTCATTAACTTAATTAAATTCAAACAATAATTGACAACTAAACTAACCAGTTTGTCTTTCACCAACTCTAGGTACGAAAATTCATTATTGTTTTCATTTTCGTCAAGATTTAGTTCGAATACAAAGGTTTTATCTGCCATTTTTTCCTAAAATTGTTGAAATCAGGAATCAAAATATTCCGCTCAAGAAAACAATAAAAAGAGCATGATTATTGATATGAAAATTAATGAAAATTTAAGCATTCGAGTTATAAATGTACAAAACGGAGTAACTAAAGATAAGCGTTTGTGAAATGTGCTCATAATCTCGTGAACAATGCTCTGAACATGCCATTGCAATATGCTAGCGTATGTTCAAGGCGGACACTAATTTTTTTAATAAAATATTGTAAATAATTTATAAAATGACACTAATTAAAAGTAACTAAAAAGTAGCAATGGATCATACGGCAATCCCATTGGTTAAACCTTGATTCCATTAAAATTAAGGTCATTTAGAGGACACACAAAGAATAGAAATCGAAATTAAGTATTGAAAAACCAGAATATTCCTTTTCATGTGTTTCAAAATCAGTAAAATATATTTGCGTGATTCATCGTAATGGGCAATATAAGGGGAAGTAATATGGCTGGCAAGGCACACCTTTGAGATCCAACGACGAAACGAAATGATCAAGGCAGGAATAAACAGCTTTCAGAGACCAAAGCTCTAAGCCAATTTTACCTACCATTCGTTTAAACATTCGGAGGTGGGGTTTTAATAAATTTTAGATCTCGTTCAATTTCCCAAAAAGATAATCATAACCCACATTTTAATGAATCAAAAAATATCTTTTCATAAAATAATCTGGAAATTGTTTTTTTTCGCATCAGAGCAACTTATTAACACATCAATGAAGAAGTTAATTATGCGTTCTTGAATATTTTTATATTGTACGTGTTTCAGTGCCACTGAATTCTGGATATGCATTTTAAATATCTGGACGTATTACATCATTCAGGCATTCAAAAAAAATGTTTAAGTCAAAATGGCTGTTTTTAAGTAAATACTTGTAGAGTTGATAGGAAGCTTAAAATGTTTTCAGTAATTTTTATTATATTTTCAATATTTTGTTTTGTTTCACCTTTATTCCCTGTTAAACTATTTCTTATTTTAATATCTATTTTATGCTTGAAAAATAAACGGCTGTGTTTAGTGATGGAATGAAAGTTTTCATGTTTTTGTTATTTGGACGCAAATCAAAATTTTTAAATGGCCATATTTTGGCTTTGAATTCTGTGAAAGAAATTCATTCATGTCACCTATATTCTTCAAAATGTAAATGGTATATATATGCATATATACATATGTAATGCATGCGTGTACATACGGCCTATTCGCTGGAGAATGTCTAATGTGCTCACGAAACACTGAAAATAAGTTCACGGAAATCAACCAAACATCTAACCATACATAGGCGGGCATGCAACTTGATGCAAACTTTGCAAACGACAGTCTAAGCAAAACTGAAGCCAGATTGAATCAGTTTATTCAATCATATCGCTGATAATTACTTTGAGACAAATCTTTGTTTTGTCATAGACTTAATGTGGTTTCAACACTCGCTATTGGTCGGCAGACAATTAAAGGGAGCACCTTGTACCTAACCATGAAGCATATTAGGCGTTTAGTAAACAACTTCAGCCTTACGAATTGTTGGCATCAGTTATTGAGTCCGAGTTTTAAAAAATGGAATTATTCCAGCTGTTGAGAGAGCAGGTAACGATGAAAGAACGAGTTTGTACTTTTCCAGCAAGCTGTTGCAACGTCGCAGAGAAGAGGGTAAGTTCCTACTGGTTTATGGCCTCCCAGATCGCCAAATCTGTGACTTTTATTTGAGGAAAAGCTTAAAGCTTTCAATACTTTCTGTGAACAATTGAAAGTCAAATACGTTTTTTTAGCTCGAAATTTTGTGCGTTTGCTAATTCATGTACAAATATTTTAATCTTTAACCTTTCTATATTCACACAGGACCTCTTCCATCTTGGCCACCTGGTAGAGGTCACAACGAAGTGGCCATCGTCTCAATGACCACAACCCCCCACCACAGAGTCATTCAGGAAAATAAGTACCTATCCTGATTTAGGTAAGAAAAGTTGTTTCCCACATGCTTTGCTTACAACCATGTAACGGTCCTGACACTATTATTGGCTCCCAACGCCCTTGGCAGACAACAAACCTATGTTCTCACTCAATGAGACCTCTATACAAGTGACACATACAAAACAGGCTTGATAAAATGAATTGACAATTATATTTAAGCGTAAAACTGTGAATGTATATCAAACGTTGATAGACCATATCACAGGCATAACAATATAAAATAACTGGCAAATAAGAACAAGAAGAACGCCAACAAGAACTGCATTCAATATGCATACAAGCTCCGACTTCACATCACTCCAAGTTTCAAGCCGTCCAAAGAGAAGATATAGCGCCCATCTCAGTAATCCAGTTGGCTGTCTATGTCGACGTCTTCTCTTCTCCCTTTTCGAAAGTTTTGATACCTGACTGATACTCGTGAAATGACTCTTTGCGTCAAAATCACCATAAGCTAAAGGAGAAGATGCTGAACCCACTTCGCGAAGATACGAGTAAGCCGGTGCGGCACTGGCCGCATAGACATGGTTCTGATGAAAGAAAGAAGTCGAAGTAGGGGGCGAAAAGATGGCAGAATGGGGTGTTTTATTGTCCAGAGAGAGACTATCCAAGGAAAGAGAGGCTGCATCACTCATAGAATTTACATTCAAAGAAGATGTGGAATAATAAGAAGATGAATGTGCAGTAGAAGCAGGCCAAGCAGCTCTAAGTCTTTCCTTTTGCTCATTTAAGTCCTCCTGAGCATAGGGTAGCCAACTGTAGACTAAAACCCCTATTCCAGCTATCGAGACAAGGGAGACGATGAAAATGGAAGGGAAAATTGATGAAAAGACTTTCTGGTCACCGACAATTAAATTTGCGCTTAGAACAAAGAAAATAGCATCAAGAAGAGTGAAGAAGGGATTTGTGGATACGCGGAAGCTTTGTAGTAAGAGTTGACTCAAATGACTAACAAGGCATACAATTTTCAAACGTAGCAAAAGAACTGCAGAGTGCATGAACTGCGATTTGAAGAAATCAATATGTTGACATAGAGAATTTGACGAATCTAAGCTGCATAAATGTTTATCAACAAGGTTAATGACAAAGGGAAATGATATATACAACCAGATAAAAGTAGTGATTATGCGTAGTAAAACAGTGACAATGGGTACAAGGATGAATAGTCGAGACTGGCCGATTGGATTATGGGAATGAGATTGACAACGATCTTTACTGCGCCACCAGCGTAAAACCTTTGGAATAATCTTCATATCAACCTGAAAAGCAGATTTAAAATATGCCATATTTAGCATTTATAACCAAAGATACAAATGGAAATAGCTAAAAAAACTTACATTATTTATTCTTTTGTGAGCTTTGATCATGCATGAAGGGCATAACATACACCGATTTTCTAATTCCTTCTTAAATTGGTTCAATTCACGGTCCCAATTTGCTTCACATGAAGGTTCAAAATGAGCCAGCTGTGCTATTTTATAAGCTTGCCGTTGAGAACAGACAGTACAGAAAATATCAGATTTAAATCGTCTAGCCACTCCATTTGAACGAATTGCAAAACTTTGGGGATTTAGCTGTGCATCATACTGGGCGGATATACTACAGTTATAATCTCCAGAATCAGTAAATCCATTATACTGATGACATGATGAACAGAAAAATGAGTTTTTATCTTTAACACTGACAGAGGTGAAGGATTTGCAAAACCAACATTCCACACGAATAATTCGATTTTTATACACTATGTATAAATGATAGAGGAAATAAAATAAGGCAAACAGGAATAATGTAATGACACTTATGTTAAAAAACTGAATGGGAAAAAATTTTGAAATGTCCATCGGAGAATTTATCTATTATCTACAAAAAAAGTCTAATGTAATAACAACGCTCATGCGCGGAATCTTACAAAGAATAAAAAAGGCACATTCCACCAACCTTAAATGGGAACGCGTGGTTCCATCACATTTGAATTTCCCACGCAAATCCTGATGGCTTAAAGAGTTAATCGCTTATTGTTAAGTAAAATATGTACATTAAAACATCATTACATTGTATGAATTGTGATTCAGTGAAATTTATGTTCATAATCCATAAATATATTTCTTTTACTTTTATTTGCTTTTACTATCAAAATAGAGATTGTATCAAAAAATTTATTTATTTCAAATGTCAGGCGTCTTGATAACTATTATTAGCCTTTTAGCTGACTTCGGGCTTCACATAAGGCAGGTTCATCAAAGTAGAAGAAAGTTAAGATGTTGGGAACAGAAGAGTAATTCACAGATGTAAATGAGGCAGACAGACACAAAAGTGGAGAAAAGGGTATGATGAGTATTGTGCAAGGGTCGGATATGACAATCAGACGGGCCATGGTAGTTTGAAGTCAGAAGTCAACTGTCGGTTTATATACTTTTTTGCTATATCTGTATACGTTACCCAGGTTGCACCATGTGGAGGTAAGTCTATCGCACACCCCTGTATCGAAAAAAAGATTATACTATAAGATATCTCCAACAAATTTCCCTTGACTGGGATTACATGGACTTGAACATGACTACTTACGTGAGACTGGATGCCTTCTATTATTCTTAATAAAAGCTTTTGGATCCAATTGAGAAGTATTCATTCACTGCTTTTGATCAATATGAAAGAATATGCATATCATTTTTTCTAATTATTTGAAGATTTCTAGTGTTGAAAGTTGTTTAAAGCTTATTATTCAAAAATGATTTTTGCAAACATAACATTTAACTAAGCTGATGGAAATTTCTGCTAAGCTTACAATTAATATTCGAAATGTGGATAATGAACTTCAAATTTTATTTTTAAAGAAAACAGACAAAATTATGTCTTGAAAAATTCTGATAAGAAATTGGTCATCAAAGTTTGCATAATTTAATTTTGAATATGTAAAATTAGATGAATACCTAATTATATTTTTAACCTTTACTTAAAACGCGCTAACCTACGTCCTTACTATTCACCGATTAGTCAGTCAGCTGTTTGACTTCAGTGCGTTCCCTTTACCAATGACGAGAAATGTTTCCGGGGCTTTAACGAAATACGCTGGCAAACTTCGTGATGTTTCTGTCGATAATGAAACGGTAAGTTGTATTTCGTATACCAAAACCGTGATATGGGATTTTCTCGTCACTCTCAGTTAGATCTATCGCAAAATAATTTCAATGAAATTTTACAGAATTGGGTGTTATTTTCTTTACTAAAATTTAGAAGCTACGGATACTCATGAAACTCGATCGAGTTTCGGTTGAACTTGGTCTGATTTCGGATACTGGAATAGGACGGGCTGTTAGAAGCCTTTCATCTGAACAGAATGAAATCGGGAAACTGGCTAGAAATCTCGTCAGCAAATGGAGAAGTCTCCTTAAAGAGCATATAGGCAAAACCCAGACTTCTGATTCGGCTATCGATCCGAGTGTAGAAAACGAAAGGCGAGAGTTTCCTTCAAAGAAAACTTCGATTGCTTCGAAACCCTTGGATGCAAACAAACCAGAACTTTCCAAGCCTCCTCAATCACCGGTAGCCAGATCTTTAAAACGGAGCAGTTCTATTTCCTCTCCTTCTTTGGACTCATCATCTGGACTTTCTTTTGAAGCAGCTCTAAGTTTGTCTGTTCCCGTCAAAAAGAAACCAAAACGGTCAAAATTACCAGCAACATCAGCTACACCTTCAAACACGAACAACAATGGAAAAAATAGTAAAGAATCTGACACACAAAATCCCGGTCAATCTTTTACGGAAGAAATTCTTAAATCCCTTGCTGATCCCTTTGAACGTCCCGATGTACAGCCTGCTCCTCAGCGATCTTCAGGTTTGTTTTCCTTTAAGCAATATTTATACTCGGTTTTATTTCTGATGACTTAATCGAATGAAATTTTACTTTTTTCACACACCTTTATCGGCTTTATTTCAATCTCCTTTAGCCTAATTTAGTAAATTGTTTTATCTCCAGCTTGTTTAACTATTTGTTTGTTATTAAATCCTTAACTTTCTCAGATTCCCCCTCTCTCTTTTAACATAGTTAATCTTCGCTTTTGTTCATCCGTTTCTATTGATCTACCCAAATCAGTTGGTCCTTGAGGTGCCCAAATATCGCTTTGACTATAAAATATTTGGATGGTTTATTTGCATTTAACTCGGATAATTTTTATTATTTACTTACGTTCTGATTTTACGCATGAAATTTTTGAAGTTTGCTCTAGTCAAATTCAGTGAATTAACTCTGAATTTCGTTTCCAAGTCACGTTTTATAATAGGCTCTAATTTCCAGAATCGAACGTGCATTTCAGTGCATATATCGCAATTTATTATTGCACGTGCTCTGTTCGATTAGAACGGTAGTAGAGTGGAATTCAGCCGTTTCAAAATCTAGTAGCGTAGCTTTTCCCCAAATTTCGTGACATGGTCTAATTTTAATTACAATATAACATTGCACGTTTTAATCTCATCCTCTCATTGACCATAACACGAGCTTAAAGCCATCTTGTTTACTTTTCATCAGCTTTAGGCTTTAACTTGTCTATGCATGCATTTTTTATGATCGCTCTTGGACGAAATTTCTGATTTAATTGCCTATGAGTTTTAAATTGTTTCCTGCAGTGTGACTAATGTATTTTTTCCCCCATTAAAGAACCTTGCACTTCCTTTGTTAACCTTGACGATGATGGTGACTTGAAATTCCGCTCCAAAAAAGTCATTTGGGCACCTCGGATTAATCGACAAAATGCCAAAGCACAAGAGTCCCTGACTGCTGATGTAAGCCATCGATCTTCACCCCCAAAACTCCTTGACCTCTGTGTCACGGCACTCTCTAAGAATGTATCAATGATTGATCATGTTGGCCTAGTTCCCTATGAAATCTTTGCACCTGTTCTTAAAGATGCTTCTACTGATGATCTCTATCGGATCGAGAAGTGTAATCCGGTAAGTGGTAATGCAATTGCAAAGCGCAAACCATTATCTGTTTTTGTGTTGTTATGCTGTTGTGCTGTGTGCTTGTTGAGGTCACCGGAAATGTTTTACAGTTTACAAATGTTACCTTATCATTTCAAACATGACTTTACTATGTTTTAATAAGAATTAGCAAACAATTTTTTTGGTGGATCTTACGATCTTGTATTACCGACTTCAGATTATTTTTTATATCCTATCTTTGACTCAAATGGTAATGGAAGTATCTTTCGGGACGTATTGTAGGGAAAAAAGATCGATATCTTCTATTCATTACTTCTCACCTAGCATTCAATTCTATCTCCACTTTTGTTCATTGATTTAGCACGAATAAATTTCCTTATAGAAATCAATGACGTTTTGCGTTAGCTCTTGTAATCTGGACTGATGTCACAGGCATAGAAGGTTTCATTAATTTTTTAGTCATTAACGCATTTTTAGCAAATGGCACGACAAACATCACTGGCTAATGGCAGTAAGGATTAAGTGGAGTGAAGGCTTTTTATCTGAAGTTCAGTTCAGAAAATGTGCTGAACTGTTGTTTTTGTGTGGTATTGGGGATGTAATTTGCTTGTTTTTCTCAAACTATCACAATCCGGCGATTAAATGTGAAGGAAATTGTACTTTTATCAGTGCTATTGTTAATGTCGGATCCATTGCTGTTTAGGAAGACTTGTATTCATGATCAGTCAATGCGCACACCCAGTGATTAGTTGCGAAACTCGTGAGCATGCACCAATGACGCGGCGGTTACCATATATATATATATATATATATATATATATATATATATATATATATATATATATATATATATATATATATATATATATATATAGTAAATCGACTAAATTAATATTCACTTTAAGACGAATCGTGAAATCGATTCTCCGTCCATGAAAATCGATATAATTGTTACTTTACCATTGAAAACATCTCTTAAAATTAGTTGAACATACCACGTATTCAGAGGATGTTTTATTCAGAATGGAGCCTATTTCAACTTGAATTTAGAAATAACCAAACCCTCTAAAAATTCAATCTTCATATACACCACCTTCCCGTTTATAAATTCCATAATATGTGTAATATTTTCTAATGCAAATATCGATTGGCCATTTTTAACCCAATCAAATGGATTCAAAACCGTTTCGCACTTGATAGACATTGTTTTGTTATCAAATGTAAATTAAATAGTATATATATTAAGTTGCAAGAAATAATTTAAACCCTCAAATTCCAAACAAGCAAAAAAGACATTCAAATTCAATTTATTTCCAATGGAAGTATTTGCATTAACGTTATAAAATGGATGCAATTTTTTGCTTGTTCAGTGGGTACGTGGGGG